TACTTCTTTGTTTCCTCAGTTGTGATAACTGAGGAAATAATATAATGAGGGGATTGGATTTGGATGAGTAATGATAAGATAAGATAATTAGGAAGTTTGGACTAGGAATACTTCCTAAATCCAAATATGACTAGCTTTGTGACCTGGGCCAAGTCACTTAACCTTTGTCTGCCTCAGATTCCTTGACAATAAAATGAAGATAATAATAACACTTCCCTCCCATGGTTGTTGGGATTAAAAGAGATAATAACTGTAAAGTGCTTAGTGCTGTGTCTGGCAAGTAATAGGCACTAAATAAATGTCGATTCACTTCCCGGGAAGGTAAGGCCAGAAAATGACTGGACAAAAGGTGAGGACACCCCAGGGAACCCAGAAAGGGGTGGCTGTGATTTTCCTTCAAACTCTTGAACTATGATCATATGAAAAAAAACTATTTCTTTTCATTTATTATTGCAATGATATGTTACTAAGTCCCTGTCTATAATATAAAGAGATTACTAACAGACATCCAGTTAGGCAGAGACAAAGTTAAGATAGCATTGTTCAGGAGAAGTAAGAACCTGGCTCAAGATGTGGGAGAATTGGTCAAGAAGGCTACGAAGGAAGCAGCTTTTAGGAGCTCATGGGTAGCAGCCCAGAGATCAAAGGGTACTGAGGTCAAAGAAGCCAGTGAATTTGAGTATGTTTCTTTGAATCTGACAGAAAGCTGGTGGACATTATTGGAGAAGTGTATGGAGTTGGCAGGGTTTCAAATATTGAAAATGATTGAAAGGAAAGAGAAGTGGGAAAATCTGTTGACGAAACTCTTCCTTCAGGCTGCCATTGCGGCTCAACTTGGAAAGACCTTCCAGAAAAGGAGAGCTGAAGTGAAAAACATGGAGATTGAGAAGATGGTGATGATTCACCGAAGACACCAGAAAGAAACTCTCTGCTGTAAAGCCCCAGAAGAATGTGAGGCCGTGGGATTCCTGGCCACAGAATTGAGGCACATCTCAGAAATAATCCTTTCAGAGTAACTAGTTTATCCATTTCCTTTCCAACACATATTGGTTGGTTTCCCAACACATAGGCCAGCCACTGTACCAAGCCATCTAACAGCACAAAGAACTAACTGATGATCTTAATGATGGCTTTGAATTATCAGAGAAAGTTTAACTTAGATTGTAGAATACATTTTAGGACTACCACACCTTAAAAGGGAATTTTGATGATTAAAGGGTAAGTTTTAATTATCTATAGAAAGTTCTCTCCTGTAGAACAAACAACTCATTCCCTGATGACACACAATTAATGAGGTGTGACTGTTGTAAGCTTTTCTGTCCACTTGAAAGCTGTGTGTCAAAACTGTCTAGTTCTCTTGCATACAAATACATATATTATGAAGCCACAAAATAAGTCACCATAATGCTACTCAGTTTCAAGATTTGTTAACTTAGTAAACAAAAGTCTCCCTGCTAAGCTGGAAAGGACTAATAAGAACCCAGTCTTTTAGATAGCTCGCTCAAGAGCTACTTAGAATCTGGATAAGAGTAAGTGGTTATTACCTGAGAGTACATAGAAACAAGATAGAGAAAAACAGAATATATTTTCTCATGTTTACATATATATTTGTAATTCCAAATGGGTAGGGAACAGTTAGCTGAGAGGCGTAAGAGGGAGAAAATATGATGACATTCCTATTACTTACTAAGCATAGCAGTCACGATTTTGAGGTAATTGCCAAGAGCTTGCAGTTTGGTTGAATTTCCTAATTTAGCCAAATACAATATTAATGTGCTCTGTAAACTCTCTCATAAATAGACCCACAGAATGAATACATCAGAGTTAACCCTAAAATAATGCAATAAATTTGGAGGAATTATTTTGCTTTGCAACTTACAGCTCTCCAATGCTTGTGGTAACTTGCATCTGCTAAAAAGAAAGATCTTGCTCCAAGTAAGCTCTCTTTTCTTTATTAAAACACCAATGCTCACAAGTCTTAGTCGATTGGAATTAAAATCAATAGGAAAGCCTCAGAGGGGGAAAAAATGAAGCAATTAAATGTGCATACAAAGGCTATTTCTCAGGAACCCTCAAAGAGGTGTATAAAACAATTCAGTCAAATATATAACTATTGGAACCTTTCAGAACTGTTTTTTGTCTTGAGCCTAACAGGCAAACAGCAGCAAAGACATGAGTTTTCCATAGAAATACCTTGGGAAGAATCTTTGCCAAGGCTCAAGTCTTTGGTGACTTACTCTATACAGCTGTATTTTAGAGGCAACAAGTAGCACAGCACTTCATAGCGTTCCATGGAAGCTCTGCCGAAGAAGGGGTTCCAAGCCTGAAATGATTTCTGCTTTGTTAAAGGCAAAAATAGCACAACTTGACAATGTGCAATTTAGAGTGGTTTTATTAGAGAATGAACACTGATTTCTGCATATTTCACATTTTTCCTATAACATTTTTTCTTTATATTTGATGCATTCAGTGGATGTGCGGTGACTCTAAGCAAACATATTTAATGAGAGGTTATCTTATCAAAGAACAAATGAAAGAATTGATTAATGGAGAATTAATTATTTTTTAAAAGTATCCATATTCTTTGACCCACTGGTAGGCATATAGCCCAAAGAGGTCAAAAATGGAAAGGAAGATCCCATATATACCCTTATAGCTGCGCTTTTTACAAAACCAAAGAGCCAAAGACAAAGATGATGCCCATTAGTTAAAGAATGGCTCAACAAATTGTTGTACATAAATGGAATATTACTTTACCATAAGGAATTTTAGGTAAGAAGAATATAGAGAATCATGAAAAGACATACATTAACTGATACAAAGTAGAGTAGATAGAATCAAAGAATCAATATACACAGTGACCAGCACAACATAAATAGAATGAACAACAAAAACAAACCAAACAGAATTAAATGCTGAGTAATTACATTGACTGTGCTTGACCCTGAGGAAGAGATATGAGAATGCATCTCCCTCCTTTGCAGAAGTTGGAGGCGATGGGTGTGAAATATTACTCATTCTTTTAGACTAGAGGGAGTGTTGCTAAACTGCTTTTTTCTTCTCCTTTTTATTCTTTGTTAGAAGGGATGGCTTTCTGTGTAGGGAAGGGGGAAAGGGTATATTTGGAAATTTAAAATAATATAAAAAAGATATCAAAAAACTTTAAATTAAAAAATCGAGAGTTCCATTTGGAAATCAAAGATAAACTACACACAGGTTCATTTTAAGAAGTGACAATAAGATTGGGAGAGTGGGAAAAAACTTTCTGCTGGACTTAGAAAATTTTAGAAAAATGGAAGGTGGTTTGAAAAGAAATACCTTTTAATATCTATGCTACAAAGAATGCTTAAAAGAATAAAAGTATTACCTTAAAAGTCATTCTTTTAATAATAAGGTGTTAGTCTAGGTCAGAGGTGGGGAACCTTCAGCCTTGAGGCCACATGTGGCCTCAAGGCCATAGGTTTCTCACCTTGGTCTAGGTAATCCAGAAAATGGCCTGTTATTGGTAAATAACATATCAATCGGATTATGCAATTAAATAATTGATTTAACTGATTGTTTAAAAATTATATAACTAGGGGTTATCTGAAATAATTGCCAAGTTCATCAAAATAGTAAGAATATATAAATTAGTCCTTTGTATTCAACAGTGCCCAAATTAGGCCATTTTGGAGATGGTTTAATGGGTAGAATTCTGGACTTAAAGAAAGACAGTCCTGAGTTCAAATCCCACCTGTGTATTAACTGTGTAAACCATAAGCTAGTCAAAAGCTTATCTCTGGGTTCTCAATTTCTTCATCTGTATTACCTACTTTATAGGGTTGCTATAAGTCTCAAATGAGATAATGTATGTAAAATGTTTTGCAAACTTCAAAAGGCTACAAGTGTCAGCTATTATCATTAAATGTTTTTATACTAATGTACCATTAGACTAAATGGTTCCTGAAGCACTACATCACCTTCCTTACAGGCCCTCAGTTTTGGGGCTTTTTAGAATGTCTCTGTAGCTATTCATTAATCCAAGAAAAGTTTGCTTTGTGAATGCTAAAACTGAAATAAGTATTAGATTCTTCAAGATGCTACAATCACCAAAGTGAAAATCATAGGATCCTAGACTTTTTCTTTTCTTAGAATTAGAACTGTTACAGTTTCTTAGCTCCAAACTATTTTTTTAACCTAAAATCAACAATAATAAGCTTGTGCATGGAATGTCAAAGGGAAAGGTAGCATAGAGGTTCTCTGGTCCTCTTATAAGTTTAACATGATGATATTATAAAATATGAAAAAAGTAATAAATTTAAATAGAAAGTAAAACTAGCAACAAATTAGCTTAATTTCTTTCTTATAATGAACTGGAAAAGAAAATATTAAATAGAAGAATAATGAATTAGATTTTCATTTTCTTCAGGTGAATATACTACTGTGGTAGTTATAGAATGGGTAGTGATCAAACTTTTAAAATTATATTAATTTTCTCTTAATGGTATCTGTTAAAATTGCTTCTCAATAGAGATCTAAAAGGAAATTCCAACTTCTGAGGACAAAGTTTAGCAACAGCCTAATCTTGCTTTTTACTACTCATTATGGGAACTATTTATTTCAGATATGTATCTGACTGTGTCCTGTTTCCCAAACAACTTTGGACCACACTACTAACCACCAAGTTACATTAGTCCATGTTTTACTGGATCTTGTCAGCTATTGGTTGATCTATATTAGTGAACTGGCATTTTTTTTAAAATCACAAAGCAGGATTTGCCATCCAATGGTCATGTAATTCATGCGCCTGCCTCCAGACAGGACGATGCCTAAATTATCTAAGACAGGAAGCTATAAATCCTATAACTAAAGAACTCAAGGTATATATAATATTAGAACTCTTTCAATAAACAAGTTTGTTTGTTATCAAGGCATACCATAGAATAAAATGGTACCATTAATTAATTTTTGAATAAAACATCCTTAAAAATATTTCATTTTTTATTCTGTGTTCTTTTTAGATGTATGCCATCATTACTGCGTGAATTCTGAATCCTGCACCATTGCAGATGATGGAAGTGTAGAATGTGTTTGTCCGACCCGCTATGAAGGAACAAAATGTGAAGTTGACAAGTGCCTAAGATGCCATGGTGGCCACTGCATCATAAACAAGGACAATGAAGATATAATATGCAAGTAAGTTCACACGCAGCTCAAATCAGTGAAGATAGTTGCAAAACAGTGTAGCCATTAGTAAGCAATAAAATGTAGAATAAACTTAATATCTATATAAAATGATTGTGGATGAGTAAGCTTCCAGATAGAAAGCCACACATTGGTTTATTTTTTTAATGGTTAGTCACGAAGTGAAAGTGCATATTTTCTAAAAATTTAGTTATCCTTCATGTAAAAGAAACTGTCAGAACATTCATTACATGGGATGTTTTCAGGGCTAGCCTCTAAAATTTGTGAAGTTATATTATAAAAAGTCACTATAGAATATTATTGCATTTTTAAAAGTTGCATTAGTTTCTGGGTTAATGGTGCGAGTTTTGTAATTAAAAAAAATAATATAACATCTTTGCAGTGGGAAGAGAACTAAACTTGGAGTGACAGGACCTCAGTTCTAATTCCTGGCTCTGCCATTTACTCCCTCTACAAGATGGGGCAATTCACTTAACTTAAGGCTTCCATATCACTGGCTTCCCATCTGTAAAATTAGGTGGTTGGGTTAGATGACCTCTATTGCCCTTTCCACCTCTAGATCTAGGTTTACCTGGGAAACACTGTGTTAAGAAATATCATCAAGTCAGAAACAATAGAACTGAAAAGGAACTTATAAATTATTTGGCTAAACCCTCTCATTTTAAAGATGTTGAAACTGAGGCCCAGAGACGTTAAGGGGCTTGCTAAAGCCATGCAACTAGTAAATAGCATAGCTAAAAGAATTATAAAATAGGCATCTGTACCTTTTGTTTTGATGAAAAAAAGTTGTCAGTACATTGGATGTTATCATTTAGGTCAATTTAAGCTAACAGAACATTATTTTCTGGAAAGCTTGACCAAAAGAAAAAACAAACAAACAAACACCACTAGGCTTTGATTTTTGTTAGATGCTATTTTGGCCTTTGGCTTAAACAGTGAAGTAGATAAATACTCCCATCACTATAGCAAGGCTAAAGGCTAATATTATTCATTTGCTATCATAAAACAAGTTTATAACACTGAGGTTAGAGATCAAATGTCACTGGAGACTTCCTCTGAAAGGATTTTAAAAGAAGGACTTTTAAAGGGCTAGGCTTTATCAGTTGCCTTGATTTTGAATATAATAAATACAAATATGTGATTGAAGAGTATGCCATAAAGTTTTCATGCCACAATTCAAAGTGCCTGCACTGAGATTGTGTCAACACTGAGTTAATGCAGGTCTCCCCAAACAAGTACTAATCAAACTTTATTACAGTCAAGACTAACATGTTTTATTCTGATTTTTCTTTTTTATTCACTCTGATTTTTGCTTTCACAATGAACATGCCTGATGTTATTGTTATGAATGACATTTAGTGACATCCATAAATTCCACATGTTTGTATGTCCATATATATATATATATATACATACACACACATAGTCTTTGAAAAGCATAGTATTACTTTGAAGTAAAGGTGTGAAAGAGGTAATTTGGAAAGCTAGAATTTTAGGGAACACATAAGCAGAAAAACTCTTTTATTTGATTCTTGAAGCAAATAGCCTAATTGTAGTCAAGTTCATTCACCAGCATCAGCAGGTCTTTATAGTAAAATTTAAAATGCATTCCAGAATTGGATACAAAAGATACAAAATGCAACATGCTACATTTTGATTTCCCATCTGGTCAGCCTCCTGGAGTTATGAAAGGAAGAATCTTCCCTCAGATACCTTCCAGGAACTATGCTTCCACCCCTGCATTGTGAAGAGGATAGAAATCAAACTCTATGAAATAAAGAAAAAAAAAAGGAAGAAAGAAAGCAAAAAGAAAAGTAAACATTCTCATTTCTCCTGTAGAAAGAGAGGGATCCTGAAAAAATATCATTTCTGACATTCATTTAGACTACCTAAAGAGATCATGATTCACAAAAGCCATCCAGAATCTTGACCCATTTTCTCTTCTCCATGCCACTAATCACCCAGACAGTGCCAACCAGATAAAGCTGTTTTCTTCTCTTTGAGATTTACATGGACATTGATTTAAACAAAAAATAGCACAGAACATCCATAGTCATAAAATGTATGTAATTCTAAATCTTTCAAAGACATTTTGGGGTTGTGTATTTAAAAATTATTAAATAGAAGTCATTAACATTGAATAAATAATGGCCACCTTGAAATATGGCTACCAAAATAAGGTCTTTCAGAAATATTCTAGAGAATAACTGAATGTGGCAGCACCATAATAAATAAACAACAGTTTGGCATTCTAGAGATATGTTAGCTAAAATTAGTTTTCCTTTGTATAGTGCCTTTCATCTTGGCATCAAGATAGAATCCCTATTTCAAAGACAACAATCAGAAACTACAAGACTTAAACCAAAATTACAACATAACAAAAGCATCCTGCATAACTTATCCAAGCTTGTTCAAGCTATCATATAGAGCTGTGATTAGATATGGGAAATTAGGCTTTGTAACTCCCAGGCTCATGCTACGTCCACCAAGGCAGATTCTCTGTTGAACATCATAAATATAATCACTGTAGCAGAACTCCTCTCATATTCCTGTGGAAAACCAAATAAATATTGGTGAAGTCAAAGTTGATTACAGTTTTGAATTGCAGAAATAATATGCCTGTGATATAAATTGGTATGGGAATTCTTTTATTTTATTTTTTGGTCTGCCAAATAACTTGTAATTAGCTCAGGAAAAGTAATATACCAGAAATAACATGGGTATACACTTCCTATGAGAGAAATTATTACAGAAATTTTGATTTTAAAATATAAATAGTGCTCTTCTGTGCCTGGAAATGATGTGGATATATACTTTATTTTTATTTTTTAATTCTTACAATCTTCTGTCTTTTATCCAGGATTTAAATTAGGTGGGATTTGCTCATCATGTGGCGGTTATGAAAAAGTATTCCCTTGTTTGGAATAACCTAGGAATACAGAGAAAGAATCATGTGTATATATACATATATATATGTTTATGTTATGTGCATATGAGAGAGAGAGAGAGAGAGAGAGAGAGAGAGAGAGAGAGAGAGAAAGCTATGTGATTACAGTGGACAAAACATTGAATATGGTATCAGAAAGACTAGAGTTCAAATCCAGCTTCACTACTGTGTGACTGTGGACAACTCCTTCACCCTCTTTCTGCCTTAGTTTCTATAAAATGGAGATAATAACACCTACCTGCTAGATTGCTACTTACTTGTTTTGACAATAAGATAAGATAATATTTGTAAATGGCTTTGCAAGCCTTGAAGCATTGTAAAAATGATAGTTTTTATTATTATTTAGTGTAATCATGGAAAAAAAAACTTGTTAGAAGGAAGGGGAGAGTAGTAAAATAGCATTTTCATGTCAGATTCTGCAATATTCTTTCCAAGTCAGTGCTAGAGAGGGAGAAAAATCTAGGGTGTCCTATTCTTATTGATTTAGTCCTCTGATTTTTTTTTTAGGCAATTGGGGTTAACTGACTTGCCCAGGGTCACACAGCTAGTGTCAAGTGTTTGGTCTGAGGCCGGATTTGAACTCAGGTCCTCCTGACTCCAGGGCCAGTGCTCTATCCATTGCGCCACCTGGCTGCCCCTAGTCCTCTGATTTTTAAAAAAATTCACTTTGAGTGTATAAATTTTTAATGAGTCCCTGCTATATGGTAAGAAGCAGCTAGGTGGCTTAGCACAAAGAATAATGGGCCTGGGGTCAGGAAGACCTGAGTTCAAATCCAGCCTCAGATACTTATTAGCTTTGTGACCCTGGGCAAGTCACTTAACCTCTGTTTGACTTAATTCACTGGAGAATGAAATGGCAAACCACTCCAGTATCCTTGCCAAGGGGAAAAAAAAAAAACTATGGACAATATTGGCATGCTATAGTTTACAGGGTCACAAAGAGTTGAACATGCCTGCACAACAGCAGCAACAACTATGTGGTAGGTCCAGGATTTCCAAAGAAGCATTGCATTAATTAATTAATTAATTAATTAATTAATTCATAAATAATGGGATAGAGGGAGAAAGAAGCCACAGTACTTCTTTAGGAAAAGATCTATTGGAAAGCCACTACCAAAGAAATCTGAATAGGGCCTGGGTTATGTCTTTTTCCTATGTATTAAGATGATACTGAAAGTGTGTAGATGCTCAAATGCAGTTACACAAACATTAGCATTGCTCAATTGTGTCATAAGCTTTTAAAGCATGAAAATAAGTTTCCATAAAGAATATCTTTTCCTCCCCATTTCTGTGCCTTCTGTGTCTTTCAAAAGTCTCCTTCTGCATAACCAAGTATCAACACTTAATTTGGAGCTTACAACCCATTTGAATCCAAATCATCATTGGGGGAAGGAAGAGAATCTGGAAGGATATGTATGTACTTAGCATCTGAGCATTTTAGCCTTGGAAGGAAGCTCAGAGTTTATCTAATCTAACCCATGCCTGAAGCCTGAATTCCTTAAATCCAAATCCTTTCTATAGCCCCAAGAAATGCTTATCTAGCCCCTAACTGAAGACCTTCAATGAAATAGAATACATTGCCTAGGATTCTCAGCACATATTCTCCCCTAATCCTACCTCTAAGCCATCCCAACAGTAAGCTAGGTATCACAGTGGATAAAGCATTCAGCCTGGAGACCAGAACAGTTAAAATCTGGTCTCAAACATTTCCTAGCTGTGTGACCTTGGACAAGTCACTTAACCTCTGTGGGCCTGTTTCCTTATCTGTAAATTATGGATAATAATAATACTTAACTTCCAGAGTTGTTTTGATGATCAGAAAATATCTGAAAAGCAAACCTTAAAGCTATATATACAAGATACCAATTATTATATTTCTCCAGCAAGGAATTAGGAACAAATGTTTTCTCAAGACCCAACTGTAAATCCAGGGTCAGTGATTTCTCTATTTTAACATTCCTGCATACTAATGAAAAATGCTGAAAATAAAATAAAATGAAATCACACGTTGGGCTTTACTATACTGATAGGCAATGAAATTGTCATGAATTATATTTGTCACCTTCCATTTTTCCTGCCCTCTTTAGGTGCTTATTTTAATCCATTGCATTTACAAAACAGCAACAGCCATTAAGCAAAGACTACCACAAATACTTACATCTGTCATCTTTCCCAGGCATTTTTATAGCTCCTCTAGTGATACTTTGTCAAGATAGAAATGATCACATTTAGAACTTTTTATTTTTTTTTCCAGTGGTGTACTCTACTATTATACTGTGGTATATAGTCTTTGATTCAAGATCTAGGATTGGGCTATGCACACATACCTATAAGATCTTGTTTAACTGAATTCAATTAAAGGCCTAGAAAAATGATATGACTATACAGTAATTAGACAGATACCATAAATCTATAAGAAAACACTGTCACTTTATATTCATACTACATATTTTAATCGCCATAATTTGAATTTCTTCATTTTACATTGACAGAGGACACAATAGTCAAAGGACTAAAAGAGAAAAATTGCCTACAGGATATTATTCTTATAGTTTTCTATAAGAATTTCTATAAGAAATTTCTATTTCTATAAGAATTGGAGTTTAAAATTTGCACCCAATTCTGGAAATTCTTTGAGCTGGATTTCTCCTTTACGGGCTAAATATCCAAAGCATCAACTTCCAAGACTCTGCAAGCAGCAGTGTAACTTTTATCCTTCCTAGGGATGTTGCCAGCCTTGCTTGAGTATGAGGAGAGAAATTCACCAATGCTGATGACTCCCTTAAGTATAAGAATTAGATGGGTTTTTTCTACAAATAAAACTAGCATTGAATTATTGATGTTAACTGAGGGGTTAAATATGAGAGTTGTAAAAAGAAAAGTATTGAATTGTCACTTTTTCTCTTGTTTAAAAAACTGGTGCCACTAGCTAGCCTGTCTTTCTGAAAACTCACTGTCTACCCTTCGACTACCATTCCAATATGAACATTTTCATCCGCAACGGAGTCAGCTTTCAACTATAATGATTGAAATAACAATGGGCTTCTTTTTTTGTTTGTCACTGCAGTTGCACTAATGGAAAGATTGCCTCCAGCTGTCAGTTATGTGATGGCTACTGTTACAATGGTGGCACATGTCAGCTGGACCCTGAGACAAATATACCTGTGTGTTTGTGAGTATTTTATATTGCAAGTATGTCACAATGGGATCTTTATGTGTATAGCAACTCTGGTCTGTTTGGGTTTTTTTCCCCTCCCCTTGGGGGGGTGGGGGTGGGAAGATACCATAAAAATGTATTCTATGAACATGTCTCACTTTTAGAATGCTAATATGGTCCAACTTTGGTTGAAGTGTGACAGAATATCCTCATCTATCAATTTGGTATTGCTAATGATATCATGGAGAAGAATTCATTTAATTCTTAGCATCATGCCCATTTCAGACACTAGGGATCTCTGAACTTGGAAATACAGGGGAAAATTGGATTAATCTCCCCTGTTGTATTCACATACATCTCAACTCCAGAGATAATCATCTATTATGAATGCTTTAGTACTTACAGCCATTCTTTTCAAAAGAACATGAGACCTCTTTTTAAATGTATAATGCTGTTTGATGTATGTATTGAATTTTAGAGTGAAGCATTATATAAACCCATGCTATAAGATACCAACCCATGAAATCTCTGGCTTCTTAGGAATATATTAAACTGAGTCTGGGTTTGTGAATATACAAAAAGAGTGCTGTTGCAGTTTCTAAAATGCCATTAATAGTTCTCATAATATCCAGAATTCAGTGGATCCTTCCCTTCCACTTCTCCACCCCTGGCCCTTTCTCTGGCAGGCCAGAGCTAGTAATCCCAATCTAGTGCCCACTTGGCTTTTTAGGTTTACTGTCAGATATTCCTGACTTCTTGGGCAAAAGGATTGATGTGTAGACGCACCGGGCCTGAGTTAATTCCCCCTACCATTTCAAGGTAGTGGGTTATGGGGGTGGTTGAAAGAGAACTGAGCATATTTGAAATGAGTTATTTTGTATACAATGATTTTAAAGCATGTTTGGCAAAAAAAAAAAAAAAGAAAAAGGGCAGAATATTTATTTAGCTGTATTTTACTGAAATTCTGCAGATGCTCTGTGGGGTTTAAAAGTCAGCGCTGTGACCAGAAAGTGAACCCTTGTGATTACTACTGTCAGAATGAGGGAATTTGCACTTTAACTGCGTTTAATGAACCGAGATGCAAGTAGGTTTAACCTTCCACTTACTGCTGCACATTTTGTGACATCATTTCAGGCCACAGTTCATTGGTTCAGATCATGCACATCCACATACATTTCACAATTTGTACTTGATCTTGGGGCTCATCTGTGTAATACACACTTAACCTTTGGATAGTAACGCCAGCAAGTGTGCTTAAGTGTAGGTTGCTAGAGTGTCTAGAATTGCATCAAAAAGAATAAAAGGGGAAAAAAAATAGTCAAAGTGTAGAAGAACTAAATCTGCCAAAAAATATCAGACTTCCCTTTGACAAATAGTGGAAATAAACAAGTGGAAATAAATTAAGAAATGCTATTGCCATTTTGTATGTTGATTTCTATCTGGTAATTAAATTTTCATTCTAACATTGATGAAGTAATTGATGTTATGTGGTTTTCCTGACTTATAAATATCTAACCTTAACTTATACATCACCTTAAAAAAGGAAATTGGAACATGATATAAAACATTAGAAAAATAGTCTAGATTTTAAAAAATATATTTTTACTGATTCAATTTGTAACAGGGCAGTTTTTTTTATTTAAATTATTTTAAACCCACTATGTTTCCTCTGAGAAATTGCAGTCACCTTTTGGAGGGGAACTATCAATCCTCATCAGAAAAGGAAACCATCATTCCATTGTGCAGTTAAGCTTTAGAAATATATCGTGTCAGGCGTTTTCATTGATTCCAGATGCCATAGTCAGCCATACTAGGCATCAAACCATTACTGAGATCTGATAAAGCACCCATTGATTGTAGCACTGGAGGGCCTAGCCAGGCTTCTAAACCTCAATAGGATAAACCACTGCAACTACATTTTAAATGTCATCTGCCTGTTATCATATACTTAATAATGTACTTTAGTCATGCTGGTATGTGCCCACCATTGCTTAATCAACAATTATGAAGTTTGAAAAATCATTAAAATACTCACATATGACAAGTCACAATCATATTTTTTCTAGAAAGCATTAGAACTTGCTAGACCAACTTCACCATAAACAATTCAACAGCAAAAGAAAAAAAAAACCTTCCGCCTAAAAGTATTCTGTGGAATCTGTCAGTAAATTGGCTCAGTTATTACTTCATTCCCATCACCATCTCCTATTGAAGGAGCAAAGGAAAACCTTTTTCCCCCATCCCCTCATAGGCTCATTGATGTAAAACTAGAAAGGACTTCAATGGCTTCTGATATGCAGGTCCAACCCCATCCTTTTATAAATGAATCCCAGAGAGATAAAGTGATTTATCGAGTGTCAAACATGTAGAAAAAGGAAAGGCATGGATTTGAACCTAAAACCTCTGATTCTAAATCCAGCCCCTTTCCACTCTACCATACTGTTCCCTTGATCTCCTGTTTTTGTACATACTTGAAAAACAAATTATCCTGGGAGAGGATAGGCACTTCATAGTACTGATAAATTCAGAGTTGACACTAAGGAAGAAAGGCAAAAATGAATGAAATTTTAGTCTTTTAGTAGTGCGCAAACTGACACTGTCTTTAAGGCCTCACCTTCTTGACTTTCTATTGCATCTCCATCCACTCAATTATCCCAAATACTTCCTTAGGCTCCTAGTATATCCCTCCCCCTTTCAAATGACTCATAGCTATCTGATGTCTTATTTTCTATGAGCTATCTACTATGGCTCTTTCAAAACGTTAGCAGAACAATGGAGTAATCCAGGAGAACGTGCTGGTGAGACAGAGTTGGAGGTTCTCTCTTCACTCCCGGCTTACATGTGTACATTTTAGCAGCAGTCTTCAGAAGGCAACATTTCTACCTTTATTTTCTACCTCAGAAAAGTTAGTCTCATGATGAGAATTCCAGGTAGAACAGAGGGGGATGGCACAGATAAAAACCTTTCACATCTTGGAAACAATCCTTGAATATCCTGACACATAAGCTATCTATCACTAGTGTGTGTTTTGTTTTTGAGAGAGAAAGGATTGAAAAGCCATGATGCCCAAGAGATGACTCTTTATAAGTACATTTTCCCCAGCTCTAATCTTTGACCCTGCCAGTTGGTGTCCTTGGGCCATGGAGGAATGATTCTGTACTTCCATCCTAAAGAAGCATCAGGCTACCCTGATGTCACATGTAACAGTCCCCTCTCCACATTAAGGTAGAAAAAAAAAGTGGATTGACTGCTATTTAAAAATATGGAAAACACAGATTTCAGTCTTTTATGTCCACGTATGCAGTGGACATGCTTTGAAGGAAAACTTGGTATATGTAGTTTTCCAGAAAGGTTTCATAGGAACAAAGTTGCTTTATAAAGAAAAGGCCGAGTGATTTGCTTGCTATTGTCTGTCAGTGCATTTCCCTTTGTCATAAAATGAAGGAAACTATTTGAATTGTGCTGTACTTATATACATCTGAAAGGCAATAAAGCATTCAGATATATGGAGATGACAGGTTTTCCACACAGAAGTTTTAATGGCTGTATCCTTCAATATAAGGAATAAATTTGTTCTTTGAAATCTTTCCCTTTTGCCTCTTGCTGGCCATTTTCACTTATTACTATATGAATAAAATTCTACAAAAGGGAAAGCCGTGGAGAAAAGTTTAGAATGTGGCAGGAGTTTTTCTTCCATGTTCATTTGCATAGAAATCTACCAATTGCAAATGCTAATGAGTTGATTACTTTAAAATTATTTGAGTTTATAAATTAATATGAGTTATATTTGAGTTCTTTAGGTGTTATTAGGATTATTCATAGTGATAATATCATCATCACTAATATAAATGTGACAAATGCCTAAGCTCAATTTTTTCATTGCGTATCAGTAGCCTGTACTGGGCAAGCACTGAGATGTCTGCTGTCATACAGCTGCCCACAGCATAGAGGGTTAACGTCAAGATTATGTAGAGACAACACAGACAGCTGTGCATAGAATCTGTCCATTGAGATACTAAGAGGAGCTAGTTTTTCCTACTATATAAATTTCCAATTTAGGCTTATTCAAATAGTATTATAATTGGGCTAGAATCTGGAGTTCATGAAGGGGGTTAGTATGAAAATAAGGCAGGAAGAGGAATTTAGAATCTGGTTGTGAAGTCATAAATGTTAGGCTAAGGAGTGAGTGTTTAATCTTGTCTGTGATAGGGAGCTACTGAAGTTTTTTGGGCAGGGGATTGGCATGTCAAATCCGTATAGCAGGACCATAGATGGATTATAAAGTATAAATTGATTGGTAGGAGGAAGAGTGAAAGCTGAATGGTATAGGGGAAAGAGCTCTGATACCAGAGTCAAAAGAATTAGATTTGAGTCCTAGTCCCAACATTTACTAGTTGGGTGATACTGAGCAAAATAGTTAACTGGGCCTCTGTTTCCAAATGGCGATCATAATACTTTCATTATCTCTCTGACAGGGCTGATATGAGAAAAGCATTCTGGAAAAAATGTATTATATAAATGTGAATAATTGTTATGACTCAGACTTTTATCTTGGATAACTGGTGAGGTGATGTTATCAACAGAAATAGGAAGGTTTGAAGGAGGAACCGGTTTTAAGGAAGAAAGATATTGAGTTGAGTTTTGCATAGTTGAATTTGAAGGGTCAGCAAGACATTAAGATGGAGTTGTACAACAGATAAGGGAGATATATATAATATGTACATTTGTGTGTATGTGTGTGAGAGAGAGAGAGAGAGAGAGAGGACAGAGAGATAGTCAGACAGAGAGAGAGCAGATCTGTGATGTTAGGTCTCTGAGAAACTCCCTTTATTAATGCAGGTCAGCACTGTCTCTGAAAAATATAATCTTAGAGAGTTATCTAGAGCACTGAGAGTTTAAATGACTTGCACAGAGTCACACAACCATTAAGTATAAGAGGTGGGACTTGAATGCAGATATTGCTGTTATGAAATCCTGCTCACTCTCTGTCTCCCTCTCTTTCTCCATCTCTCTCC